AATTAAATTAGTAATTTTGCAAACCTTGTCCATTACGTCTTTTAGTTGTAGGGATAAACCACATAATGCCTCCTGATGGATAATACAGTGTAACATACGACATGTTATTCCTTCTTTTTGCAAAAGTCCCGCGAGCCCGATATTTTTGCCCGTCATAGCTCTAGCATTGTCGGTTACAATAGCAGTGAACTTGTCAAATCCGCCATACTGCTCTACTGCACATTTTAATTGTTTGTGAATATCTTCACCTTTTGTTGTTCCGTGTAATGATTGTAATTTTAAAAGTTCTTCTGAATAATTATAGTTTTCATTTACAGTTCTTATAAAGATAAGCATTTGACTTGTATCGGAAATGTCTGTGCTTTCATCCAATGCTACCGAAAAATAGCAGCAACTATTGATTAGGTTTTCTAATTTATTAGTGACATGCATGCTAATCTCGTTTACACGTCCGCTTACAGTCTGGTGAGAAAGTGATACTGTTTGAAATTTTCTTACCATTTCGTTGTCATTAAATGCTTGAGCTATTTTTATGGCACATTTTTTAATTAATTTTCCATCCAAAAATGGCTTCTTTGCCTTTACTATTTCTAAACAAACTTCAAACGATGCAGCTACAGATGCTTCTTGAAATTTTGGTTCTTGATTAAAATAATTCGTTTGATGATCCAGCTGCTTTTTCATTTTTTTCACTAGTGGTATTTTCATGTCTCGCGTGTACGGATGATACTTTTTTTCATGCATGGAAAGATAATGGCGCTTCAAGTTATATTCTTTACACACAGCTATGATTTCTAAACGTTCCAAACACTGTGGTTTACCATTCTGGTTTAGAATAAATAAATAATCTATTTCCCAGCGATCTTGAAATTCTCGATTTTCGAGGTCTATTTTTGTTTTATTAGTAGCACTCATATTCAATAATTATTTTAATTAATAAATAAATATGAAATTAAGTTAATAATATTATAACGCAGTCACCCCTCAACAAATTCTAGACAAGACTGCACTCGCACGATTGCATGAATCAACCAAATAGCTCAGGGTAGTGTGCGCGTCACGTGCGCCAACCATAGATAAACAACAACTAACCACAAATATAATATGTGGCGCCAACGTTGAGCCAACCATCATCAGACGTTAAACAGATTGCTGCTGTATTCAGCCAGGTTAAGTGAAAGTTACGCAAAGTAAATAGTACCTACTTTAAATTCAAATTAGATTTAGATTTTCACATAAAATAATTTTAATATTGATATTAATAATTTAGTAACATAAATTTATTCATAGTAAAATGTACTCGTAGGTTGTAAAAATTATTTTGTGGGCCGCCATTTGGACAGCGTTGGCATAGACCATTGGTCAAAGATTTAATGGTTTTAGTTTCAACATGGAGAAGACTTCGTGCACCCACTTCTGCCGAAGGCGTGGTTTGCACTTGGACCCTGAAATTCACCTAAATGGGGTTAAAATCCCAATGGTCGACGAGACGAAGTTCTTGGGAGTAATACAGTGGAACCTCGGTTTACGACCTTAATCCGTTCCTGGTGTTTGGACTTATACCGAATAGGACGTATACCAAACCAACCTTTCCCATAAGAAGTAATGTAAAAATGATTAATCCGTTCTCAATTAAAAAAAAGTGGCTGGCTTTAAACACCTTGCTTTCCTGGCTAGTTCCTGCTTGATTTTTCACGAGATCAGCGTGTATCTTTTTAGCTTTCTTGCAAATAATTGCTTTTGATACGCTGTCACCAGCACACTGTTTTTCAGTTATCCAAAGCAAAAGCAATTTCTCGACACAATTTAATGTCTTCGATCTATGTTTAGAAATTGATTCAACTCCTTTCGCAACGTTAGCAGATTTAATAATGTCGTTATTTTTCACGATTGTTGATATCGTCATTCTCGGAATACGGTATGCAACAATTAAATCTCGAACACGCATGCCACCTTCATATTTCTCAACAATCTCTTTTTTTCTGTTCCATTGTGATTTTATTCATTTTTTTTCTGTTGCCTTTTTCAATTCATGATTAATAAAAATAATAAAATTTTACTTACAAATAAAAATCAGAAGAAATTTAACAAAGTTATAAATTGTGGCATCGCGAACGTCTAGTCTGGTATAATACACCGATAGTGCTACTTGTTCATAGATGGCGCGTATAATTTAATATACCGAACAAAAGTCGTATACCGAGCAAAATTTGTTTCGTCCAAACAGGACGTATTCGGAATTGGATGTATTCTAAAGCAGACGTATACTGAGGTTCCACTGTATTTGATTCCAAACTGACGTTTTTACTGCACTTGTGCAATTTGAAGAGTAGATGTTTAAAATCTCTGAACTTTTTAAAGGTACTGTGCTGCTCATCATGGGGAGCAGACAAAGTTTCTACGCTCAGGATTTACAGGGCCCTTGCCGCTCAAAGCTGGATTACGGATGCATTGTTTATGGCTTTGCGCGAGAATCTACTCTTCGGATGCTGGATCCAATCCACCATTAAGCACTGCGTTTGTGAACTGGTGCATTTTGAACTTCTCCTGTCCAAAGTTTGTATGTGGATGCTTATGAGCCTCCACTATCTCTTAGGAGAGAACAGTTGTCTCTTTCATATTATACAAAACAGAAATCGCATACTAAACCTTCAGTTGATGGTGTAGTATCAGATACTCAGCTGAAAAGGTTATTTGAAGCTCGCCAAAGTACTGTCCCTATATTCATCATAAGAATGGAGAATGTAAGCAGCACAATTGACCTTAACACAAGCAACATCTCACAGGTTGAGGTTAATAGTATTCCTCCTTGGTCAAACTCAGCGATAAATGTTGATTTAACCTTAAAGCAAAGAACCACGCCAGACTGCGTCTATAGACAGCACTTCGCACAAATTCAACATTGTGACAGGAATCTAATTCCTATTTATACTGATGGATCGAAATCAGATAACTACGTTGGCTTAGCCTTTGTTTGCCAAAATGAAATTGTGGCAGAACAAATAGCACTGAATTTTTCCATTTTTTTTGCGGAGTTGCAGGTTATTTATTTAGCCCTAAAATACATAAATAGAAAAGGTCATCATTGCTGTGTGATTTACAATGACTCAGTTAGTGCACTTCAGGCTCTGATCTTGTATGAACCTAGTTCTCACTCTATAGTTATTAAAATTCAGAAACTAATTTGTCATCTTCTTGCAAGGAATTTCTTTATAAAATTTTGTTGGGTCCCAGGCCACGTAGGAATAAGAGGAAATGAAGAAGCTGATGCAGCTGCTAAGTCACCAAGTCCTTTACAGCATACAATGCGTATTGAAGGAGGCGATTTGAAGCTAGTCGTTAAAAAACAACTAGCAGAGAAATTTAGTAGAAAATTGGACACATAATAGGCAGTATGATAGGAGATCTGAGGTTGTCCTTACTCGTGTAGTGTTCAGAGTGAGAGGTACGCGATCCCGCGAGCGAAATGGTACAAAAAAAAAGGGGAGTCTCAACACAAAGTATTGTTTTTCTCACTGAACAGGTTCGTTTATTGGATCCCAACTTTACAATTTTTTGAATTTTATGCGTACACCTCGAAAACAGTTATCTATTATCCACGCGACAAAACCTGACGAGGACCAAAATTACTTAAACTAACTTACGCTAACTTACACTAACTTATGACTAAAGATGAAAGAATATAAGATATAGAGATAGACTAGGAAAGAAGTAGAAATACCCGGGTTTAGATTCAATAAGCCCTTGGTTGGAGAACACTTCGGACTAAGAGGCCTTCCCTCGATGATCTCTCTCTCTCTGCACTTTTTATTTTTAGGTCACTTCTTATTTTGTAGACCTTTCGTCTACAGTATTCATCTTTCGGATTGAGTTGTCTTTGATTACCTCTCACCGGTAGACTTTTTGTCTACAGTCCTTCCTTTTTTTTTTTTTCTCTGATCGCTTCGTCTCAGATCACTTCACTTGTAGGAGCACCTCTCTGTTCCCTCCTACCTACTCGAGATCTCCACTCAATCTGATTTGCTCTCTCTCCGTTTTGCTTTCGGGCCTCACTCCCTTTTCCTTTGTTCTTCATTTCTCAGAAGAGGGTAATCCTCCTTCAAGGGCAAAAAGGGGTTCAGACAAAGAAAGTTATAGGAAGGTTTAGAGAAAAGAAAGTTCTAGAAGGTTTTAGACAAAGAGAAAAGGAAACTGTAATACTAATACAACATAAAAATATAGAAAATATAACATATCATGGCTGATGGCCACACTCGTTTGAGAATTGGACACACTCGACTGACTTATCAATACCTTTTGAAGGGAGATGACGAACCAGTATGTCAGCACTGCAAGTGTACTGTAAGTGTTGAANATTTGTCATGGCGCTGCTTGGCTTATGTTGCCCTTGCGCCAATAAACTATAACCAACCAACAAACCTAAATGCTGCCAACTTGTATCTGGATGGGTCACATGAGTCAGCCGGAATATACGTCGGGAAGTCTGACTGTATGCGATATATAGAAGTGCTTATGCCAGACTTTTCTATTGCAATGCTCACATCCAGAAAGTGGATTGTGGAGTCACTATCCACTTTCTGGGGCTTCCTGCGATTTGGCTTTTCTGTACTATTATTAGTTTTGCCGAGAAGCTGTCATTCGTCAGTTAGTGATAAAATAATTTAAAAAGTTAACCACAAAATATATAATGAAGGTAATGTGAAAAATGAAATGAAGTTCGTAGCTATTTAAGCTTTGATTTGTTTTTTTGTATTTGTCTCAACCAATAAATGTTTTTTCACCACCCCAGGCCATAAATATTCCAAGAGAGTCAGTCTCTTACCATTGTAAAGCAATTAGCGGCAAGAAGACAGATTATTGGCTGATAAAATCAATAGTATTTTTTTTAGAACTGTAATTGGTTTATTTCTGTATTTGTTGAGATATTATTTCTACGAATCACCAACCTTTGAAAACACAAACTAAAATTACGGCTAAACGCCACGCTTGTTGAGCTACGATTATGAAAATATGTAAACATTCGCTATAGAACGGTTAGTTTTTTTATCTACGATTTGCTAAAGAAAAGATTTGACAGTATTTTGACGAGTAAAAGTGTTTTCAAAACCGTTTAGCAATAAATATATCTGGAAAACCTATCCTCACTATAGGAATTGTAAGGAAAATTTTTTTGACGTCAATTGGCTTTCAAGTTCTTGTTTGTACGTATTTTACGCGTAATTATGCCATGGAAGCCGTGCATGCCGGCTACCTTTCTGAGATATCCCATTTTTTTATCTTATGCCTTTTGAGTAGAGCAGTGCATGTAGGCTCTTTTGACAAGTGCCCTAAATGCTGCCAACTTGTATTTGAATGGGTCGCATGAGTCAGCCGGAATATACGTCGGGAAGTCTGACTGCTTGCGATATATAGAAGTGCTTATGCCAGACTTCTCTATTGCAATGCTCACATCCAGAAAGTGGACCGTGGAGTCACTATGCTGCTCCAGCTCGATCGTAAGGCCATAACTGTTGTTATTCACCTGATCTATAAATAGGTNTCTAATACTAATACAACATAAAAATATAGAAAATATAACATATCATGGCTGATGGCCACACTCGTTTGAGAATTGGACACACTCGACTGACTTATCAATACCTTTTGAAGGGAGATGACGAACCAGTATGTCAGCACTGCAAGTGTACTGTAAGTGTTGAACACACATTTTGCAACTGTGTTGCTTTTGACCAGAGTCGTAAATGCAAGCTTTTGACCAGAGCATTTCGGAAATGCAAGCTTTAGAGAGATTTTGGGCCAGAGTCCAAATATGGACAATATAGTGGACTTTCTGAAAGTCATTAATATGTATAGAGAAATTTGATTATTTATTTATTGTACAGTTTTATTTACTTTGTGTTACCCATTNTACGTCGGGAAGTCTGACTGCTTGCGATATATAGAAGTGCTTATGCCAGACTTCTCTATTGCAATGCTCACATCCAGAAAGTGGACCGTGGAGTCACTATGCTGCTCCAGCTCGATCGTAAGGCCATAACTGTTGTTATTCACCTGATCTATAAATAGGTTGATGTCAGGGTTATTTCTCCACAGTATATAACCCCTGCGATTTGACTTCTCTGTTAACAACATGTAGTATAATGATGTCGGTGAAACAGGAGATAAATTTTACAATTGTAGAAGAATTATTAAAAAGAATGGCTTCAAATGAAAAAATTCTTTATTATTATTTAAAAGAAAACATCTATTTTATCTGAAAAAAAGTTTTATTCAATTTTTTCAATTTTACAGGAGCCCCCTGCGATTTGACTTC